ATCTCTTCCTGCTACATCCACTCTGATGATGACCTCCCTAGCTGAAACAATTCAATGAGGTTGATGCTTTTGTGATAAAATATCAAAATCGTAACATGTTTTAAAAGGGGCTAAGTATTTCTCCCATCTCCCATCCTATACTGTTGCAATTTCAACAGTCTTGTACGTTCCCACACACATCATGTTGTTTCTCATCTGTGAACCTTCTAGCTGCTTGTGACCCTCTGACCCTCACTCGCGGTCTGTGGCCTCCTGGTTTTACTATGATTACAGTGCTCAGCTGCTAACACACAGGTAGGTAACTCAAACCCACTAACCACTCCATAGTGAACAAGATCTGGTGATCTGCTCACGTAGATATTTCAGCCTAGAACCCCTAATGGAGTAGGTTACTCTGTCCTATGGGGTCTTGGTCAATAGAAACCACGGGGGCAGCACACAACAAGAACTATAGGTACGTGTATTAAAGGAGCAGTTTTAGGTTCACAGAGAAAACTGAACAGACACGACAGAATACCCATGTACCCTCTTCCTGCCCCTACCCAGGTTCCATCATTTTTAACACCTTACTTTGGTGTAGTAATTTGTTACACTTGCTGAACTAGTTTTAAACATTATTTTGAATCAAGCATGTCAAGTCACTTGGTGTTGCACAGGACTCTGGGTTTTGACAATTCCATCGTGCTTTGGATTCAGTATTACACTGACATCCAGTGTAGGCTTCCTGCCCTTTACAATCCCCTGTGCTTCACCTACTCACTGTTTCCCTCCTCCACTTTAACTCTGGGAAGCCAATTATTTCTCCTTATCTCCACAGTTTGGTCTTTTCCAGAATGTCATCTATGAGGGGGCTTTGAAAAGTTCCTGGTAAAAAAATTCTGTCATCTTTTCATTTTATTTTCCATGGAGGTTCTGAAGCCCCTTTGTAATTGGAATGATAGAGAACGCAGCCTTCTTAGACTAGCTCCTGCCATTTAGAGCACACATATGTGTCCTTGATGTACTTCCTTGGCTTCTAGCTCGCTTTGTTTTATCGCTGAATAATTCTCTGTTGGATGGATGTGCCCCAGTGTCTTTATCCACACACTCGTTCAGGAGCGTCTTGGGTTCTTCCAACATTGGGTATTTATAAATGGAGCAGCCTAAGTCATGTGTGTGCAGGGTTTATATGGGCATGTGCTGTCAACACCTAGGGCTAAATAACTAGGAATGTGATTGCTGGACCATCTAGTGAGCCTCTGTTTAGTTTTGTAAGAAATGGGCAGACTGCCTTCCCACATAGCTGTCCCACTTCCCATCCCCGCCAGTTTACCCCCAATCTTCACTCAATGAGCTGATGTGCTCAGCCACGGCGCTCAGCTTCAGTGAACTTTTGGGACACCTTCCATGACTCCTCAAATCCAGATCTGGTGTCCTCGCAATTTAGTTTGCCTCAGCACTTATCAACACACATTTTAATTGCCTACTTACATGCTCATCTGCCCTCTGGACTCTGAATTAGAGCAGGAATCATGTTTATTTGGTTTGACATGGCTTCCTCCCGCCTCACTCCCAGCATGCGGTAGGCAATCAGAAATAACAGGCACTTAGTTCACATTTGTCAAATTAATAATCCATCAAGCCATGTATTTAATAAAATGTCCCCACGTGCCTTCCTCTTTGTATGGAATCTCTTCTTCCTTTGGGCCTCTTCAGTTTTAACCCTGTATGTATTACCTTTTACCTTTCATCACATGTGATTTTTCTCTGTAATTAGTCAAGTTTCTTAAATGCAAATTCTTGTCCATTTTATGTCTGTTTCCCCAGATTAACAACAACACAGCTTTATGTATGCTCAGCCCTCAATAAATATTGAATTAGTTAATGACAGTGGAGTTTAAATGTTAAACTGTATTTTAGAACTGCCAATGAGACTGGTTTCTGCTTTGCAATGGGCAACGGCCAGGGATTACTCTAAATAGGTAAATTGACGTCAGAACCTGGAGGCCTTCATTTGCTTGACTAGAAGAATTTTATCATTTCAGAACAGAGGATTCATGGACTGTCCTCTAACCTGAGGGGTTTCAGAGCAATGCATTAGGAAAATTATTCTATCCTTAGGATAAATTTTGTGGCACAGAATTATATCCATATTCATACACTGAGTTTGATGAATTTTGCTACTGTTGGGAATCCTAGTCTTTCATCAAAGCTACATGGAGAAACCCACGTATAAGAGACAATTATTGAGCACAACACTGATTTGACTTTTGTAATCTGAGAATTGTCTATCCAAGGTCCAGGAGTGTGGCCACAGTCCAATTAAATCTCAACATTGCTCCTCCATTTGTTTTCCAACAGGTTCTCTCACTCTGAGAACGCATCATGTTCAAGATTCCAAAATGGGATTTGTGATCAACGCAATCTACTCTATGGCCTACGGACTCCATAACATGCAGATGTCCCTCTGCCCGGGCTACGCGGGCCTCTGCGATGCAATGAGACCAATTGATGGACGCAAACTTTTGGACTCCCTGATGAAAACAAATTTCACTGGTGTTTCTGGAGATATGATCCTATTTGATGAGAATGGAGACTCCCCAGGAAGGTATTGTGATAGTTTTCTGTAGACAGTTGAGCGTGAACAATGCTTAACTCTCGGTCTTAATGTGTACATTTCTGTGCTTTGTAGTTACCCAGCTGTGTAAGGGAACATTGACATCAAAGAGAGAAAGAAGAGCAAATTTGGGGTGGGGATGGGGTTAAGGGGCAGCATTGATGCTAAGAGCCAAAATGTCACTTGGGAATCGCTGCCACCCCTCAGGAACCTAGACTTCGAAGCAGGAGTCTCAGATTCCAACAAAGAACACAGGCCAGCTCAGTGGTTCTTCCAGGTTCCCCAGCTTATGCCATCTATTCAGTCGCCTTCAAGGGTCACAGAATGATTGTGATCAGAACAATTCAATCTCTGTTACTCCAAGAAAAGGGGTTAAGTAACTATCGTATGATTTCTTCTTCTTACACTAGTCATAAATCATATTTTCTAACTACAGTGAGTTATAAATCATCCTCCAGCTGAAGCGTTTTCATTATTTATAGAGAAGAACCTGAGAAAAATGAATTTACTGATAATTTTCAGTCAACTTTAAACCTACCAGTGTTCCTATAAAACTCATAGTACAGATTCCTACAGGACAAACAGTATGACATCGTGATGTCATGGAAAAAATATCCTAGGTTTAGCAGGGCTAGATCTCAGTCTGCAGTTCTATCAGAACAGTCGGTCCCCTGGTCCCTCACTGTAAAACGCTGTGCTACTCCAGCACATCTTATGTTGGCAATTGAACAGCCTGGGGTGGGGACCAGGGCAAGGTGAGTTCTGACTTCTTTGACTTCCCTATGGCCACGAGGCCAGAGTCAGACAAACCTTCTCCCTCCATCCTTCCTTACTGGACCTAGTCTGACATCAAACATTCCTCCCACGGCACTGTACTTCCAGGTTGTGTTAGCTAATTCCTTGCAATTAGCCACAGAGGGCGCACAGATAAAACTCACAGTAAAGGGGATACATTGGGCTGCCATCCTCATGGTCAGCAGTTTGAAAACCAGCAACTGCTCATCGGGAGAGAGACTGGGCTTTCTACTCCCATAAATAGTTACAGTGACCCACAGGGTGGTCACTATGAATCGGCATCTACTCGATGGCGGTGAGTTTGGTTTTATTAGTGGAGTTCATAGGTTACCACAATTCAAGAGTAGTAAACGGGAAGGATACAGTATCGGTCCACAGCAGCACCTTTCCTTAGCAGCCAACATCCAAGCTTTGTTCCTCAGCCCCCCCACCCCCGCCCCCAATATGATCCCTTGGCTTCTGCCTCTGAGGACCAGAGAGCTCACATCTAGTCTTCTGCCTCATGTGTTACAGTGCCAGCACTGCTTCTCCCATCTGTCTCCTGGTTGCCTTTCCTCTGCCTGCCTAGTTCCATAGTCTGTGTGTCACGGTCTCTGGTGCCCTGAGCTCAGAGAGAGACCTCAACGCTCCCATCTACCAATGCTCCTGGGATTTTCTGTATGTCCGAGCTCAACACTCACTGCCAGGGAGTCAGTGCTGACCCTCAGTGAGCCCCTACGGGTTTCTGAGACCATAACTGTTTACAGGAGTAGAAATCCCAGACTTTCTCCAGCAGAGAAGATCACAGCCCAATGCAGACTCACTTGCTGCAGCCCCAGGCCCTCCCTGTTCCTGAGCTGGCTCTCAGAGACAGAGCAATGGCTTTGATGGAGGTGTGAGTGTGTGGTTTTACTGGTGATGATGCCCCTAAGGAAATAAAAGGTGTAACTTGGTCCACTCCCTCTATTAGGGTAAAAACAACAAAAACTCACTTCCATCAAGTGACCTTGGACATACTTATTCCTTTCTCCTAATTGTTCTGGAGCAAAACAAATTGAGTCTCAGAGAAAGGAAGAAATGTGTCCCAGGTCAATTAAGGGTTCTACATATTTACTAGGAAAGATTTTCATGATTAATTTTCAGTCACATTTTAATATGATAGGAACAGAGCTTAAAGAAGATGGAATATATGTATCCACACACAGTGATGAGAACCATATTTCAGGAGCAGAGGACTACAGAAAATGATAGGCACGCAGAGGGAGAAGGAGCAGAAGAAACAAAACACAAAAACGGAGTGAGAGAGAAAATAAGGGAAGAAAAATAAAGAGGGACACGTGGGCAAGATTCTTATTCAAATGTCATGTGAGCGGAAAGACATACTAATCTGCCTGAAACTTGTCCAACTTGGATCCTGGCCTAGTAATTTAAAAAATGGGGTATGCTTCGTTACTGTTTTATTTTGGAAAATAAAGCACAATCTTGTAGATTATATAATCAGTAACCATTGAGGAAGCCATTATAATATGTGTTTAATTCTTATATGGTATTGCTTTCTCTTTTGATGAGGCCATCCTTACATACCATCTCTGAAAGCAAAGGGACTCGATGAGTTCCCCAGCCTCTACTGCAGATAATCTTTTGTATCTAAACGTTTAGTGTTATGCTAACAAACAGTTTTTAAAGCATTTTTATATTTCCCTAGCATTAGTCATTAGTGATAATATATCTTTGTGTTTCTTTGTAGATTAGACTCAATTACCAGAAACCTGAGGGCTAATTCCAAAGAGAGACTTCTGTGTCTACTATAGTTAGTACAGATTCATTAATTTCAGCAAGATGGAAGTTTAATTTTTCTTGAAACATTTCCCCTTTAAAATGAAATTTTCTATATTTTATAGTTTTGATTTTTTAATGGATTCTTTTACTGTTTTGGCATTTAATCTATATAAAACAAAAGATATATTGATGTAGAGATATGATCTTTAAAATGTAGTGTTTTATATTTTTACAATTCTCAACAATGTAGAATTGATTTCTTAACTCTATAGAGCTGATTTCAAGCAGTCATGTGGAGAATAAAGGAATGAAATCTAAAGACTGGGTTTAGGTAATGGCTCTGCCACTTGCATATTCTATGACTTATTCATACTCATTAACCTCTTTATGCCTGAGTTCCAGTATCTATTTGTTACAGTGTCTGCAAAATTATCAGTTTGATATAGACATCACTAGAGTTAAGAACTATTAGAAATGGGGAGAGAATGAAACCCTAATATCTCTTTAAATCAATAGTAGCAAAGGAAGACGTCTTATAACCACAGTCCTTTCTCTCAGCCTAAAATGTTCAAAGATCATTTAATCGCAAGGAGTCATCTATAAAGATGTAGAAGCCTCATTGGAAGTAGCCAATGACAATATATGAGTTCCTATTACATCAGTGTTCTGGGTGCTAATAGCTCAATTCATCGGACATTTCGTAGGATGTCCATGGATGATGTGATAGAGTGGAAACCTGCGGGCCTGGGTTTTATATCATCTATTCATGGTTTTTTTTTTTTACTTAAAAGTGGAGTTTAGACCCTTGCTCAAAATTACTACTAAATGGCTACAAATAAAACATTGTATATAAGCCGTACAGTTTAGCAGTGAGTTACTATTCTGAAAAAGACAATACCCCCCAAAAAAAAGATTAGAAATGAAACAGTAGGGCAAAATTGTACACTGCCTGTTCCCAGTAGATTCGCATCAGTTTTGTTCTGAACATTTCTTCAAAGAGCCTTGTTCTGATTATGGCAATCTGGTCCCTGGAACCTAAGAGCTAGAGTTCTGCATGCATAACAATTTCCTGAAAGTTCATCATCCTGAACATAGAAAGTTAAAAGAAATATTTATTGTAAGAGCCTATCTGCCCATTTGCAAGTCTTAGGGGACAACAAGCAAGCATAGAATATATGAAAAGATACTGTATACCACATGACCATTTCAATTGCATTTGAAAAAATCTAATACACTTTCCATGATAAAACCGCAACTAGAAGCCAAACAATAAAAATGGGAGTAATGGTGGTGGGAACCAAACTAGACATATCACTACAGAAGAATAAGCACTTTGGGGTGCTCAATATCATTAGTTATTAAGGAAGTGCAAATCAAAGTCACAAAAGGATTCCATTTTTCCTACTGGAATATCAATGGAGTCCCTGGATGTTGCAAATTATTAAGGCACTGAGCTGCTCAATAAAAAGTTAGTGTTTCAAGTCTACTCAGAGATACCTCAGAAGAAAGATATGGTGATCTCTTTTTTAAAAAAGCATTGAAAACCCATTGGAGCAAAGTTCGACTCTGACACACATGAAATTGACTCAGCGGCAACTGCTTTGAAAGTGTTGGTGATAAAAAAAAACCCTGAAAACAAAAGGAATGGGTAGGAATGTAGAGAGACTAGAACCCACGTCATTTGCTGCTGAGTCATTATAAAATGGCACAGGTTTGTGTTAGGCCGGATTGACCAGAGGAATAAATCCAGTGACACTCATATATATGTATAAGAGGGAGCTTTATATCAAGAAGTAGTTAAATATAGAGCAAACATCCCAGCTCAGTCCAGATCAAGTCCAAGACTATTCCATAAGTCTGATACTAGTCCATAAGCCCCTCTTCAGACTCACTCAACCACATGAAACACCTGATAAAAATGCAGGAAGATCACAGCCCAGTGGGTGAAAAGTGGAAGCATCACAAGGCTGGCCCAGGTCTGAGTGTGGTGCTCAACAGGAAGGTCAAGGAAGAGATAGAGAGGAAGTTCCCAGGATCCTCCTCGTGAGAAAGCCATGCCCAATAGGAGATACTATCAGGCTGTAACCTTATCGACAGGCTAAACTCCACCCCTTCCACTTCTATAGCTTCAAGTTGGCATGACCTTGTGGAACTACTACAAGCTTCTATGGAAAACAGTTTGGCAGATCTTCAAAGAGTTCAGTACAGAATTGCCACAATAACCAGCAACTCCACTCCTCGGTATATACACAGAAGAACCGAAATCAGGAATGCAAAGACACCTGCACACTATTACCCACTGCAGCAGTATTCACAATAGCCAGTAGTTAAATGGACTAGCTCTCTATGATTCAAAACAAAACAACCTGCCACCACCAGAAAAGGAAACACTGCCAAAAAAGAAGTGTTTGAGTCCATGTTTACTCCTAGTGACCCAACAGGACAGAGGAGAAGGGGTCAATAGGGTTTCTGAGGGGGCAAATCTCTATGGGAGCCAACAATCACAAAGTAGAATGTTGGTTTGAACTGCTGACCTTGTAGTTAGCAGTCAAATGCTTGACCCATGTTACTATCAGAGCTCCTTTCTATGGTACATACACACAAGGAGATACATACTACTCAGTCATAAGGGAGAAAAATAAAATGTTGATACAAGTTACCATGTGGGTGAAAATTGGTAAACATTATGTCGATGAAACAAGTCATACACAACAGTAGAAATAGTATATGATGCAACTTGTATGAAGTAGCTAGAAGAGGCCAATGTGTGTAGACCAAAGATGAGTAGTGGACCAACAGTCAGAAGAGAGGGGCACAGTCCTCAGCATGGAAAACCCTTCAGAGCAGTTCCCTTCTGCAGCTTTCGGTCCTCTGCCTTGACAGCAATGAACAAGAACCACAATCGATTTGGAATGAGAGAGGAAAGGGGAAGTCAGGGCCGAGGGGGTGCAGTTTCTGTTAAAGCTGATAACAAACTAGAAATGCTGTCCGTGGGTGAAGGGAGACATCAGACAGGGCAAGATATGACAAAATAATAATTTATAAATTATCGAGGGTTCATGAGGGAAGGGGGAGCGGGAGGGAGGGGAAAAAGTGAGGAGCTGATGCCAGGGGCTTAGGTGGAGAGCAAATGCTTTGAGAATGATGAGGGCAATGAATGTACAAATGTGCTTTACATGATTGATGTATGTATGAATTGTGATAAGAGTAGTATGAGCCCCTAATAAAACGATTAAAACATTAGAAATGGATAATGCAGATGGTGATTGTACACCATGATGAAAGTTATTAGTATCACTGAATTGTCCATATAAATTTTGAATAAAATGAGAATTATATTGTTATATTTTATTTATGCCAAAATAAAATAAGTAATTAAGAAAAATAGCTAAGAAAGGCCAAGAACTCACAAGGCACTTTCCTCTTTCAACATTTTCACACTTCATAAACCACCACTTGTGCAACTGTTTCCACAATAAATTTAGACATGGTTATCCCCACACCTCCTTGAAATTGAAGTCCAAGTTCAAAAGATTTACCAAATGTCTCATTTGATTAGCAAAGAAAAGTTTTACCAGTTGATGTAAGTGAAGACAAAAGGCAGTTCATCTTTTTCAGAAACCTAACAATAGTTCTCGTTCAATCTGCTTGACGTTCTTTCAAAACTGCCTTCCAGCCTGCTAAGGTCAAGGCACTTTCTCATAGGGATTAGTTTCTATTTCAGGTTTAAGACTGGAAGTGAAAAATGATCTCTAAAGAAAAAGGGAAGAGGCAGAAATGCTGTGGTTCTGAGTGGTGTACAATCATGGGGCATTTCCGTGATGCTAATATGGCAGCAAGGGCTTTTTTTATGTGTAATAAAATGATTGCTTGATCCTCACTGAATCTTTATTATTTTCTTATTTCTAAGGTATGAAATCATGAATTTCAAGGAAATGGGAAAAGATTATTTTGATTACATCAACGTGGGGAGCTGGGACAATGGGGAATTAAAGATGGATGATGATGAGGTGTGGTCCAAGAAAAACAGCATCATCAGATCTGTATGCAGTGAGCCATGTGAGAAAGGCCAGATTAAGGTAACATGGAGCCCTAGTTCTTTCATTTTTGCTTTGAATTCTAAAGTTCACTTGGCTGTTTTTAAACATCTGGATGCTTGTTTTAAATGTTATATTGTAAGATTCTAAAATCAGAAATTGTGTTTTTATTCTCATTAGCTCCTTATGCTTTCTAGAGCACAATCCATACTAGTAGGAGTACCTGGATTGGCTGAAGTAATTGGCAACTCACATTTGGCCACACTTTCTCCCACTGTAACTCTTTGAAGATGTTGGTTCCGGAAAATAATTAACAGTTGGAAGACACATTAATTTCTAAGTAATTGACCAAATATTTATCAAAGTCCTATTCATGTGATGGTTGATATCAGCTTTGGGAGAAAGTTAGAAACCTTTTACTGTCAGGCAGTCAAGATGTGGGAAATGTCACGGTACAGGTGAGCAGTGTCATGCAAAATGTGAGGACTTCGTCTTAAGGAACTTCGTGATGTGAAGTTCAGACATCAGAAAGGGATTTATTCTGAATCAACTATGAGAAGTTGAACCATGACAAGTGAAGGGATTTCAAAGTGAGACATGGGAGAAAGATCATTACTATAGAGGGAATAGTGTTAGGAGGTAGGGAGTTGATCAAGTAAAGACTTTTATGATAACAATGAGCAATCTAGGGTGCATGACTCTAAATGGTTATTATAAAAGAAAAAAATGTGAAATGATAGGTTGAAGCCAGAGTTTCATGAATCACAATAAATTGCCTTTACTTAAGTTTCATTAAACAGGAACTGGGAATCATTTGAACCATAAATTGGGTTGTGGTTATTGGAGATTAATGTGTGATGTTATGGACCATGGCTAAAGAAAGAATAAACAGGTTACGAAGACACTGATAATGGTAACAAGGGGCTTGGATTAGGAAAGAGCAGGAGTGTTTAGGTGCTGGGCAAACATATAGGAGGAAATTATAGAAGTATACTTACTGAGTTCTAGCTATTGGTTGGATACGTAATTTGGAGAAGAGGGTGGAGGTGGCAGTAAGAGGAAAGTCCAAGACTGTCAACTTCAATCCCATATTAGATACAAGGAGTGGGGCAGGGATGACTAAAGCATTTAGAATAAAAGGCAACAGCTTGGCTTGAGGGCAAGTTGGTTTTGAGCTATCTAGCAAGTGAAAGAAACTGTTGAGATGGAAAACAATGAGAAATAAGATTGAAGATATAAAATTAGCAATTAATTAAAGTCAAAGCTGTTACCATTAACATACCCACAGAATTTAAAAGTATAGAGAAACTAAATGTGGACTGAGAACAGGTGCTGAAGAATATCTACTTTGGAACTGCAAAAGAAGTGAAAATAGAAACAGAGAAATGGAGTCAGAGAAAGCACAGATACATAGGACGGTGCTCAGTGAAAGACAGAGGTCATAAAAGCGGAAGGTTGGGAAAAAATACAAACAAAAACATGGGATTCGTGGGTTAGCCCTTTATCCAGAGCCTTCTGGGAAAAAAAAACAAAACCCTGCCCAGTTGAATGGAAATTAAGCAGGGAAAAGTGTGTGGTGAAAAGCCAGTCATAGTTTAGAAAGATGACCATAATGAAAGGCTATTTTTAGGTTCATTAAGACCAGCCCACATTTATAGAAAATAAAAAGGGGAAGATGGTTTGGGGGCATTATGTCATAGAAGAATAAAAAAGATTAGATCAAAATGGCATTTGACAGGTGAGTATTGGAGTTCAATAGTACCACATTCCAAGCAGGGTATATACTTGGAAAATTTGGTCTTACCTTTTCTGTCAACCTCACATCCTCCTTGTTTACAATACATTAATGTTGCAAGTGAAATATTTTATTACTGAAAGTCATGGCCTACAGAATGGTTCTGAAGTTTTGGAAAGGATAAACACAAAAGGAAGAAAGAAAGTAGATAAGAATAAATTTGATATCTGGTAAATGGCTTGGTAGATTATTGTCATTTTTTGTTACATTCTGTGGAGTTGGTTTTGATTCATTGCAACCCTACAAACAACAGAGCTCAACATGTCCAGGTTCTGGCCCTGCACTATTCTCACAATCATTGCTAAGTCAATTCTGCTAATCCATGATGGCAATAGAAAACAGTCTTCAACTGTTTGCTGATCCTCTACTTTGACAAGTATGATATCCTTTCTCCAAAATCTAAACCCTCCTAATACCAGGTCCACAGAACATGAAACACAGTTTTACCACCCTCCCTTGTTAGGAGCATTCTGTTTGTACTTCTTCCAACACAAATTTGTTCACTCTTCTGGAATTCCATGATATTTTTAATATTCTTCACCAGTGGTATAATGCAAAGGCATCAGTTTCTCTCGGGTCTTCCTTATTCATTGTCCAGCCTTTGCATACATGTGAGGCAATTGAAAATATAATGGTTTGGGTCAGATGAACCTTAGTTCCCAAAATAACACCTTTGATCTTGTAGTAGCCTGGGTAAACTAGAGAAACAAATTCAAAGACACTATAAAAAAGAGCAATTGAATATTGAGAAAACACCCCAGCCCAGATCAAGTTCATGAGTCCAATATTAGTCCATATGTCTGATACCAATCTCTAAAGTCCTCTTCAGACACACAAAACACATTCAGTGACACTGAATTCAGGAAGATTACAGGCCAGAGGGTTGGAAGTTTTGTGGATCCAGTGGTGTTGTAAGTATCTCAACGCTGGCAGGGGTCTCCATGCACCTTCTCAGGCTCGAGAAGTCACAGGCTATACCAGTGTACTACCTTGTGTATTGTCAGTATAGTGTCTGAGCCAAGAGAGGGAGTGAGCCAAGAGAGTGTGTCTCCCTCCTCTAAGAAGGAAAATACCAGAGTTCCCAGAATTCTCAGGAGAAGGTCCTGCCCACACAGAGCCTTCATTGGCTATACAATGATTGATAGGCCAAATTGACATCAGATTATGTAACTACCACAGTTCTTTAACACTGTAAAGAGGCTTTTTGTAACAGATTTGCCCAATGCAATATGCCACTTGATTTCTTGGATGTCCCTTACCTGGATTTTAATTATGAATACAAATAAAAGGAAGTCTTTGAAAACTTCAATTTTATGTCCATTATCAAGATGTTGTTTATAATTCCAATTCTGATCACTTCAGTTTTCTTTTTGTTGAGGTGTAATTCATACAAAAGCTTTGGTCTTCATTTGTAAGTACTTCATCTCTTATTTACTTTCACCAAAGTTGTATTATCTGCATATTGCAGGAAGTTAATTAGTTTCCCTCAATCTTGATAGTGGATGGATGTGTTAGGCTGAGTTGAGTAAAGAAACAAATCCAGAGACTCTCATATATGTGTAAGAAACAGCTTTATATCAAGGAATAATTGTATATCAAGAAAATATCCCAGCCCAGTCCAACTCAATCCACAAGTTTTATCCTAGTCCATAATTCCCTCTTCAGACTCACAAAGCCACGTGCAATGATGCAGAATGCAGGGATATCACAGGACAGTGGGTACAAAGTCCCCTGTATCCAAAGGCAGTTGGACTTATCTCCAGGGCTCTGGCAAGTCCCAATGTGGCTCAGCATCAGTAAGGTGAAGGCAGAGAGAGGGGAGGGAGATTCCCAGGACCCTTCTTATGAGAAGACCACACCCACAAGGAGGCACCATCAGGCTGTGACCTGATTGGCAGGCTAGACTCCATTCCTACACTTTTATATCTTCAAGTTGACATGAAGCTATGTAACTACCACAGACCAGCCCTTGTCAACTTGACACTTTTACACAACTCTTTAGCCATATATAATTTTTAAAACAAAGACAATAGTAAAATCATATTTGGGCCTAACAAGATAAAACTAAATTCATAAACTCAAAATGTATTTAAATCTAATATTTAACCTAGTATTCTATAAGTGAACAAAACAAAAATATTCTATGCCTACCAATTGCAGTTAAGTGAACACCTACACTATATAGAATTATAATCACATAATTCTTTGAATAAATTCTCCACCCATGAAAGTAGTTAAGCCAGCCACTTCATGCCTTTACACCACCCATTTTGGGTATCCACGTTTTATACTTCCCATTTTTATCAGTCTAGTCCTCCAAGGTGACAAGCATGCTCTTTAATGTGGAGAATCTACATTCCAGTTGGAACCTTGTCTGAATCCACAAGCAAAGTCAGATCAGGATAGGCTGTCCATAAAAGTCAGCAACAATATGCACTAATTCACATGTTCAAAAATATCTTCATTTGGTCAGGTTCTGGTCAACTCAATGTGGGCCGCCTACCTTAGACTTACCAGGGTGCCCATTGACTGCCTTGCCTTCCAATCACAGGCCCCTGCACAAATTCTCAACAACCCTAGCCCTCTTGGGGTAGTCATGCCATAGGCTCGGGTTCTGCGCAACTCTTTAAAATTTAAACCATTTAACCTACTCTCATCTTCTTGTCTAGTTCCAGTGAACCAGGTACACAGATTTCAGTGGCCAGACTCAGCCTGTCTCTTTATTGCTGCTTTTCTCCCACTTCCACTCAACAAGTGGATCCAGATGGTCACCTAGTGAGCTTTTCAGGCTTTCCAAAGGTTCTCTTTAACTTTCAGTCCTAGTGAGGAGAGTTTCTTCATGGCTCCAAGTTATTCCAGATTCAGGAGCAAATCACTAGTTCAAAATTCAAAAAGGCCAAATTCCTTTTTATTTCCTTCAGTCTGCTAACAGCTCTCTTAGCAAGCCTTTTCTAATGCAATGTACTGACACTCAAAGAACTTGGTGGGGTTTATCTTTTCAGCACCTTCTTTGCAGGCATGCCCTATGCCCATTTAGAGATCCAATTTAATGACTGAAGGCAATGGGCTCTGTTTTCATACTTCCAAATAATCATTTGTATCACACCTTATATCAATTACAAAAGTTAGAAGTCAATATAATCCTAGTACAGCCAGATCCAAAACACATTCTTAATATAATCAAATTCAATCCTATCTAAACTATCCCATTCATATGCAATATGGCCTTAGGCCTCTGGCTGCATCA